CACTTGGCAATTAATGTGCCCTATCAAAAGACTAAGTACAACCTCACAAAAAATCTTACCGTTGAAAACGTATTAGTAGCCCAGAAGGTGTTCTCATATAGCGAAATAGAAAAGAAAACCAACCATGCAAAGCTATGCAAGATGCGAACGAATGAAATTTCGTCCATAGCTGATTCATCAATATGGCTACGATACGGAAACATTACCCCGCAAGATGAGGCACAATACTGCTATCTCTAAGATAGAAATATGTTTGGAGGTGAGAAAGGTATGCGTCAACATTCTAGGCAAAGTGTGAAGACGGTGGACCATCTAGTAACACAATGCGAAAAAATGTATTGCACTTAATCCTGTGAGGTAATGTTTCCGTACCGTAGCCATATTGATGAACCTAAATGAATACATCGATAAGATTTTTTGTGAGGTTGTACTTAGTCTTTTGATAGGGCACAATAATTGCCAAGTGCGTGTTATTCTGATTTCAACGTTCTCATGACTATACTAGAAGACATAATGAAGACCTGTGATATGTATTCATTTAGGACTTTGCAAAAATTACAGTCTAAAAGCACTTCCACGCTTACGGAGCCACTCCGTTTAGGAAATCGCCGCTAATGAGAACGTTGAAATCAGAGTCGATACGCGAGTGAGAACTGCAATCAGAACAAACGCGGATCGACCGAATATTATAATACACGATAAGAAGCGACGTGAAGTAATCCTGATTGAGGTTGGCATCACTAGTCAGGACAGGTTAACAGCAGTCGAGACCGAGAAAAAGCGGAAATATAACCTACTTGCTAATAAGCTTGGATCAGAGATGAAATGCAGGACTAAAATAATTCCGTATGTGATGACTAAGGATGGCATTGTAACGAGCTTTCACAAACGTTACGCGAAGGAGATCAGTACATCTGATTACGTTGAGGTATATACTGAATCGATAGTTCTCAAAAAAACGCTCGAAAACATCTTATTCGATCAGTGTCGTGGATTCGACGAGGACGAAACGAAAACAATGAGCACAACAAACAGCGCGGGACATGTACAACCACAGTGCCCCAATGCGATTCAGCGCTGGAATCAATAAAGCGAGAATGAAAACTAAGCTCCACATTTTATTTATTATTTATTTAATTCTTGAAGTAGGTGCTGAAGGTAAATAACATTACAGATGATAGCAGATAGCGTAAAGCTCAAAAACAGTGTTAAATTAACAATAGAGCGTCAAGTGGATGTACTGACGAATAGTGAGTTGATTGAATTGCTGAAATTAATCACGAAAGAAAAAAAAAGTAAAGTATTAGTAGAGGTATTGATATCCGCAAATATTCTAAAAGTGCTTAAAATGAGGGAAGCTGAACTTTGCGAGATATCTGTTTGAGTTTGAATAAACCTTCTAAAACAAAAAATCATAATAATATGGCGATAAGTAATAACAGATTCATCCCTTACTGTCGGTTTTCGCAAAGTGCTTTTTGGCGTTAATAGCTTTAGTTATAATAAGTAGTTCAAAGTTTTGACTAAAATTGTAATTATACTTCTCATGTGTCGAAAAAAAGAAATTATTTTATATTTGAAAAAAAAAAACTTAATGACATAAAACAGTGAGTCAAGTGAGTATAATCAGCACTGAAGATCATATTTCAGCACCGAAGATTCATACATCCAAGCAGTCATCATCTGTATCTTCGAAACTCTCCTTTCAAACTTCACCGAGTCAAGTTTCTTCTGAAAGCTTCACATCAAAATCGCTTGCTTCTGAAGCTGTTACAGTAACACCATCGGTTCTTTATACTACCTCTTCAACTATAGATAAAATCTCACAGGTGACTGCAAAAGAAAATTCAACTTTAAGCACGACTAGCACTGTTACTTCCACTCCAAAACAAACTCGTAAACCTGGACCCAAATTGCCCAACTGCGATTACTGTTTGCCCTCTGATGTTTTGCTTATTTTGGCGGAAAACAAAGACTTTTACAAGAATGAATGCAACCGTGCATCTATTCTTCGCAACGCTGTACAGAAAACAACTAGTTAGTCCTCTGTTGATTTAATACCACAAATTGTTATTGCTAGTAGTAATATCAGTAAGACTACTTATTATTTTCAGTAATTTTTGTTGTTTGACATTTTTATTCAGTTTCTGTTAGTATTAAAACCACGCTTCTAATCTGATTAGATTCCATATTTAAAAGTATGACTAAGCATAAAAGTATTTTTGTCAACTAAAATCTTACACATAGCAGTGAAATTAGTAAAATTTTTACGTCTACTGCTGTTAGTCGATGATTTTATTAACAAACTCTTGTTAAACTAATTGTGAATAGATCAACGCATCGATTTGAAAGAACCGTGTGCTCATGATGAAGAAAAAATTGTATTCGATGTTGGTGAAGGAACGTTGCAGCAAACACCAAAACGTGCATAACAGCAAGTGCTGCGGGATTATCTTCATGACTATCATATGTTGTACTGTTTTGTAACAAACATTATGTGCCAGTTTGTCGAGTACTTTCGTTCATTACATACAACGAAAAATCTTTCACGTTATCAGTATCATGCATTATGGCTAGTAATCTTAGTTTCTACAAAGTTTTGATCAAAGTGAAACTATTGATTGACTGAAGAAACAAACAAGCAAAAATACATCAAGAAATGTTGAATTTAATTTAAAATCCTGATGAAAAGTTTGAAATTTATTAATGAAATAACAGTAATTTGCATATTGGCTAACAAATACATCATATTGTGTATTTGATTTTAAATTGTATTACAAGAATGAAATAATGGATTTATTTATCTTTTGTCAGCAGAAAAATTCACAATTTCATCGATAATGGGAAATATTTAAATGATGTTATTGCTTGCTTGCTTGCATCAAATTGTACTATAGTTTTCAGACTAAATAATGTATTGTTTATAAAATTATTGCTCTTTAATAATGACAAATAGTGACTAGCAATGGAAAGTAGAAGTGTTGATGAATGATTGATAACCTTTTCATTATGATGATAAGTTCAAAATCATTCATTGATTAACTAACTGCTAGCAATTACTGTTTGAGAGAAAAGTCAGTACTAAAGTAAGCGAACGAAACAATTTTGCTCCAGCATTAGACTGCTTCTGCAGTTGCATTATGAATCTTTATATCAATCAGTATTATTTGTTAAGGAGAAAACTTCGTCGTAATTGAAAATAGCACTGATTGCTTGCACAATTTGATCAGGGCAAACATTGATGACAATGCTCTTATCACAGGTTATAGAGTAGAATCAATTAAACATGCAAATCCCAAGTTGGTAAATCGTTTGTCTCTCATATTTTATTCTTCATACTGTTTTTTACCTTACTGCTACCTGACCACAACCATCAAAGTATGCAATTTCAAACACATTCAATTATTTAGTCAGTTTTCAACTCACCCGCAAAATTAAGTCTCATCATTTTAATAATTTCCTCTATATTACTATTAATTATTGTTATTATTATTATCATTAATTATTATTTGTGTGACTATCGTTTATTTATTAATAATAATAATAGTAATAATAATAATATTATTATTATTGTTATTATTATTATTATTATTATTAATTATTAACTAATCCTGTTTTTTGCATGGTATATCATTGTCATATTGCATTCAAGCACTATAACTACGCTTTCTTCACATTTATTCATTTTTGTTGCTTATGCACTATAATTAACATCATTAAAAAATTTGAAAAGGTAATTTTAAAACTTGGAAATATCATGTGATCAAAAAGAAATTGCATAATTCATTTTGATATGATAATAAAAATTGATAGTAAAATAACTACGATAAAATTTGTTTGCTGGTGTAAGTAATATACCAATAGATAACAAAAAATAATGTTATTGGTAAGAAATTTTGCAAATGCAAGACATTTACAAAAAAAGGAATAAGATATAGTACTAAAATTATAGGATATAAAATTTTGCGCAGTGCAACATTTTTTAGAAGTATATTCCAAAAATGCTTAAAGTTAACTTATCATTTAATGGCAATGTCATCAAAGTGCTAATTCAGAGGTAGTTGTCGTCTCCGTCTTTTGTAGATTAAATTTGTCAAACAAATGTTTGTCGTAATGTTTATGAATGTTGTCAAATGCAATATAAAAAATAACTTTTGTTTATTTAACTTTTTTCAGCTGCTTGTCTGCCATTAGCTTATGTAGTCAGAAATAATTTTTCATTTCAAAGCCTGCCATTTATATTACTGATAGATAGGCAAGCCATTTCATTATACCCTAATTAAACTGTTAGCAAAATTTTTATCAAATTTAGCAATTGTTATGCAAGAGATTAAAATTTTGATAGTTTTCCTGTTGTATAACAATGAAAGTCTTTACTGTACTTCAATTAGTCGTATATACAAGTACTACATTTACTGCAAGATTGCAGCAGCCTTTTTTAGCTCAATAAAATAGTTGTTATTATTTCAATGTATGAAACAGTTCGTTGAATAGATTAAAGCGCTATTTAATTGCATAAACTTTTCTCATAGTAAAAATATATTAAAATCTGAATAAAGTTCACAATTAGTAATAGCTTAAAAGTTATACCTAAATTTATAGCACATTTGTCTTAGAGAAAAATGGACAAAAAATCAAATTGGAACAAAAATGAATGTGAACATCAGTCGTATCAAAGTGCTTCATTTATTGACATGGTTTTGTTTCAGTCTCTTTTTCTGATAAAAAATATATGCAAGACTACACGAGAGCTACTTTCTAGGTCTACAAGTTGACAAATATTAACAAAACAAATCAACTTTTGATTATCTCTCATATTCAAATTCCACACTTTATTTTAAATTTAAAATAGCAATTAATTTTGAAGAAATTATTAATTTTTTTATCAATAACAAATTATCATAAACTTTCTTATTGCTTATATTACATATAAAAAAATTAATTTTAAGATTAAAGTAGTTGTTATTTTCATTTTTAAAAGTTCATAAAATTTTTCATATGCAAAAAAATAAAATAACAATAATAATTTTTGTAATGAAAAATTGCAAAAAAATAATCAACAAATAATTGTTTATTAAATTAAAAGCATTTGTTTTGAGTTTGATGAAAATTTTCCAGTTACGATATGCTAAACAACGCGATTACATTTTTCTTGCTACCGGTATGACATTATCAGTTATCAGTGGAACATTAACTCCTCTTAGCTCAGTTTTCTTTAAAGTAAATGTCAATGTTTTTTCTAAAAATATTTCATTTTTATTCAGAAGACAACAGCTAATTGCTTTTCTAATTGAAATGCCATATTTTTAAGATATTTTTATCACTCTAGTAAACTTTCATATTGATTTTGTGCAAAAAATTATTTAATTATTAAGAACAGCAATAAACCGGTTTCTGTCAAAAATAGTATTTGAATTTTGAGGAAGACCAATTGTCATATAAAAATATTTTCTTGTAAACTGTTTAAAAATTGGTGTTCAAACTTTGAATGCAATAAAAACTTTCAGGGAATGACAGATGCCTTAATGACAGGTCAAGCACATCTTGAAAATGGTACTTTTAATGTGGAAACATACACCAATTCTGTTCTCACATACGTCTATCTGTATGCAGTTCTAGGTGTTATCATATTTGCTGCTGGCTTTTCAGGAGTAATTTCTTTTTTTAGTTCAGTTAAATTTAAATTCAACAGATGAAAGAAATCATTGAAGCAAAAATGTATGATTTATTTAAGCTATTGTTTGTTATCATTTAATTACTGCTAAATGAAATGATAACAAATCATACTGCCACTTTTTTACTTGCAGATGAGTTGTCTATTTGTGTTATCTGAACGGCAAGCTAATGAAATTCGTAAACATTATTTCGCTGCACTACTCAGACAACAAATGGTTTGGTATGACAAACACGATTCTGGCACACTCACAAATACTATCTCTTTGTATGCAACTTGATATTTAATGAGGAAATCAATATCCAAATCTTATCACACTCACACATGCATGAAATAAGCGTATAATTTGCATGCGTAATTTGAATAAGTTATTTAAAGTTGCTTTGTAGAGGAATAGATCGAATTAGAGATGGTATGGGAGATAAGTTTGGCGTTCTTCTACAAGCTTCTACAAGTTTCATCGTTGGTATCATCATTGGTTTCTGCTACAGGTGTGCTTTCCTTTAGTTACTGTTGTAAATTAAGTCTTCATGAATTGAAATCACTGAATTCATCTAACAATCACTACTACGCTTCTTTTTTGATTTAACAAATGCTTCAAACTTCAGTAATTAATCATTTGAAGAAGCTTTTTTAATAAAATACTTTCTTAATTTTTAAACAACCAAGCACAAAACTGTAAATATTAAAATAAATTTATACTCAATCGTTCTGATCTAAAATGAAAATATGGATCAAGTTTCTTTATATTCCAGTTGGCAGATGACATTACTGATGTTATCAATTATACCTTTTATTATAATATCTTTATTCGGTTCAGCTAAGGTTAGTTCAAACTTTTGCTTATTAAATCTTTTTTATTGTACAATTTTATGGAGTTGATTTTTGTGGAGTAATCAAACTTATTAAAACTTGTAGCAGTAGTACTACCTATATTACCTATATTTTCTGCCAAAGTGAATATCGTTATAAATAAAAAAAACTAACTAACGCTTCTGTACTAACTAACGCTTCTGTAAATAATTTTAAGACCCTGTCAATAATGACTAGACGGCAAATAGAAGCTTACGGTCTAGCAGGTGCAATTGCGAATGAGGTAATCAGTAATATTCGAACAGTTACTTCATTCAATGCTCAATATGCTGAAGTAACTAGGTATTATTATCTAATTAACCTGTATGACCAAAACCGTTCTCCACAGTTTAAAACTGGATTAGCAAGCAAAAATATGCCAACCAATAATTGTTTTGACATGAATTTCAGCTTATTAAAAAAAATGACGAATTGAGAACAAATGTTAGCTATCGCTTTAAGTGTTCTAGACTAAAGTAATGCAAAGGAAAGTGAACAACCTCTCAGAATCACAAAAGCATAAAAGCAAATATCTGTAAAGTGTATCCTCATGCACATTTTCGTAATTATAGTTGTTATTAGACTTAATGTCCTATTGATATGAAACAGTCGCGCAGTTAAGGTAGCTAGCATTAATTAACTTAATCATTGCAGTTGTTGACGTCAACTATTCTGTTTTTCGCGTAAGAATTAATAATTCAATTTATATCTCATGTTAATAGCTGCTGTAAAACAATAAATGGTTAAATGAATTTAGGTATGGAGATCGACTGAGACGGGCTCAAAATGTCGGCATAAAAGGTGTACTGATCACCGGTATCTTCACGGGTTTCTTTGTTTTCATAATTTTTGCCTCAATGGGACTAGTTTTTTGGTAAGTTTAATCCAGCTAATTTGCTACTTTATAAGTTACAAGATGCAAGTCAGCACTGATTAATGATGATCACAAGATTATCATTGCAAAAATGTTTTGTCTTAGAATTTTTTTCCAAAAAGTTTTGGCAGTTATGCAAAATATTGATAAAAATTAGGCGCTATATTGGTTAAATGTATATTTTACTCAAAAGACGTTGAAAAAGAACAATTCTTTGGGCGCAAATTTCTAGGCATGGAACGAATTTGGTTTTGGAAAATAAAATGACTCCTGGCATGGTATTTGCTGTGTTTTGGGCTGTGCTAGGGGGATCAATGCGTCTAGGCCAAGCTATTCCTCAAATTGGAGTCATTATTTCTTCAAAATTAGCTGCTGGCGAAATATTTCATACTATTGATGCTGTAATTTTGTATTATTTTTTGTATAATCGTAAATAAATTATATTCAGTAGATTTTTACAGTTTTTAAAAATTTATATTTCCATTTTTTGCACAGTTTTAGCTTTTTTTAAAAATACATAAAAACTATCCTTTTGCTTGTTCATTCCAAAAATAATATAACAAAAGTGTAATTGAAACTTTTACAGAAACCAGAAATTGATTGCATGTCATTCAAGGGTTTAACTCAGCCATCTCTACTTGGTTGTATTGAGCTCAAAGACATCCATTTCCGTTATCCTACTCGACCAGAAGTTAAAGTTTTGAATGGCATTTCATTTAAGGTATTAAACAAACGTAAATACACATTGCGAATATTCTTAATACGTTATTTTTTGAAATGTAAAATAGCGTAATCTTATAACTGATACTTCTGAGCTCATTTTTAAAATGAATTTCATCGAGTTGTTATTGCTATAAATGTATAAAAATTGATAATTATTTATTTTTACTGAAAGTGGAATATTTTTCGACGTTCTGATTTTCACTCATCTCTTGTGATAAAATAAACAATTTTATTTTTCAAGTTTTCACTAACTCTTCATCTCCTCACTTCATGTTCTATTTTTTCCTTCAGGTAAGTCCTGGAAGTGCAGTAGCATTAGTTGGTCACAGTGGTTGCGGCAAGTCAACCATATTCGGATTGTTGTTGAGATTCTATGAACAAGATGCTGGATTAGTAAGCTTCAATCAACAATATTGTCATTAGTAATTATGAATTTTAATTCACTAAAGTAAGAGTAGTGGGATTTCTTTTTGTTGTTGATGTAAATTGAGAAGTCATTAATAAAAGGAATCTGATTCTTCACAATTACTTTTATGATTCCAAATGAGAATTTTAATGATTGTAAATCAACATCTTTTGAACTATTTATGTATTTCTTAATTTTAGAGTGCTAACTTTTACATTTATCATAAAACTACTTACAGATTACTATTGACGGTATACCAATTAGCGATTTTAATATTCAGTGGTTACGGAGACAAATTGCAGTTGTTTCACAAGAACCAGTACTGTTTGCAGCAACCATTGAAGAAAATTTAAAGTTGGGTGATGAATCTTTAACTGAAGATGCCATAACTGAAGCTTGCATCTTGGCCAATGCTCATGAATTCATTATGAAACTACCGAAGGTATAGTCGGAAACAATACCTTTATATTTCAAGTTACAATCTCCAGTCATATTAAAAATAATAATTTGATAAATATTTGTTATAGTCACTATCTGCAGTATAAGTTAGTCTTACAACTATTAATCAACTGTCTCTAAAATAGAAAATTTTTAGAGAATATCATGTCTTAAAGTTGTGTATTTAAGAACACTATCAGCTGAAAATGGATAGAATTTGATTATTTATTGTAATATTTGACGATTCAATCTCTAACATTTTTCATTTTATGCAAATTAAATCATTACTTACTATTTAATAATGACCACAATGATCTTTTGTGATCAAACAGGGTTATAAAACGTTAATTGGTGTTGGTGGTATACAATTATCGGGTGGACAAAAGCAACGAATTGCCATTGCTCGAGCTCTGGTTCGTGACCCTAAGATTTTGTTGCTTGATGAAGCAACAAGTGCTTTGGATTCTGAAAGTGAACTTGCTGTTCGGCTTGCACTCAATAAAGTAGACAATCATCTGATACTTGCAGAGTTTCATTAGTTTTTACACTAAGTATTTTCAACATCTGAAATTTTAATCATTCCTAGTTATATTTTGGCATGAAAACAACAAGGCAGTTAAGCCAATAACTGAAGAAACCAAGTCGGTTCTTTTTTCAGCAAACTTATGTTTTGAATTGTGAGTGTATATTTTTAATGAGCAAAGAACACTTCAAAATGAATAATAATAGTCAATCTTTATCTACTAGAGAAATATTAAAAAATGAGCTCAGAAATTAGTTTCACCTAGTTTCTTGATTTTTTAATGCCGGAAAACAAGTCTCTAATTTTCATCGAGTCACCGCTTAAAAAATTTGTAACAAATATTTTCTTAATAAATAACGTTTAATTTTTTTAGTTTATGATTTACCTAAAGAGAGTCAGAACCAATTTCAAACTTGAAATTATTAAAATAAAATCAAACATTAAACATAATCATAAACTACTGCTCATGATTCTTAGGATGGAAGAAATATTTGATAATTGCAAAAGTTGAGGTAAGAGCAGGTCGAACTACCATTACGATTGCTCATCGCATGTCAACAATACGTAACGCAGATCGGATAATCGTTTTCAACAACGGTATGATAGCAGAAAGTGGAACACATGAGGAATTAATGGAATTAAACGGTATTTACGAACGACTTGTAAGAGCACATGAATTCAAAAAAGGCAACGATGAATTCATCGAAAATGGTACTTTGATGTTATTGTTGAAAACAAAAAAATAGGTGGGGTTGTTGAAAGAAGCTCCTGAAGGTCGTGGAAAAGCACTCGACCAGTGTACCAGGACCAGCAGAACTGAGTGCAGATCGAGTACATCGAGAGTGTCGGAACATCATGCAACGCAAAAACCAAGAAGACAGAAAAAAAGATCAACCTCTGACCTGCTGCACATGATATATTTATTATATTTACATATATATAAGTATAAAATTAACTTTTATAAATGTTGATGGAATAATTCGATATAATTTACTTGAACACATTTAAACTATCTCATTTTTTTATACTAACAATTAATTTTCAGATGAATTTCTAGTAACAGTTACATTCAACCGAACAATAAATAGCAAAAATTATCAATCAAAAGATGAAATTGATGATACAAAACGAGTCATCGGGTTACGTCGTTTAAGCGACCGTCTTCGATCATCTATTGCTTCGGTCAAATCGCATACGTGTAAGGCAGATTACGACAATGAAGAGTGATTACTTAAAGATTATTATTACTATTGCTCTTGATAACAAGTTTTCAAATCAAAACATTTTCGTGGTAAATTACATCTTAAAAATGTTTCACAAATAATCAACTTTTAAATTTCTTCGACTGCAAGGTATACAGCTCTTAATTCAGCAATTCGTATAATAGTTTAATTATTTCAGCTTCTTCGGAAACTTTTTAAAAAAAAACTATTTTTTTAAGCATTCTTGAAGAACTCAAAGATGAAGGAGCTAAAGCAGCGTCAATTTTGGATATTTTAAAATTTTCTAGGAATGTAAGTGATAATTTCTCTGCTGCATGCATTGCATTTAAAATAATTGCTAATTATCATTTCGAATGAGTTAAAATGATTTTTTGATTTACAGGAATTACCACTTTTGATTCTGGCTTTAATATTCACATTAATAAGAGGTTTATCCTGGCCACTCTTCTCTATGATTTATGGCCGAACATTTTTAGTAAGTTGTAGTACTAGTGTAAATTATTCATTTATTCATTTTAATATGAAATTGAGAAGTAATAAAAGTAAAAAAGTAAATAATTTACTGAATTAGCTGTATTTTGATAACCTGTTTATTCGTGAATGCACCAAATACTCTTTGACTTGACTTAGTATTCTTAAGGAATAATTTTTTGCTCACTGATCGTTCTCAATTTGTACACTAATTACTCTATCCAAAAAGAAATGAGAATTTTGCTGAATGTAATAAATTTATTAAATAAAAGTTTGGTCAAATCACTTTTCTTCATTCTATTTCTGATTTTGCTCGACTTTTAGGCATTAAGTTCTTTAGACAGAGAAAAAGTGAAAGAAAATATGCTCATAAATACAATATTGTATGGGATTCTGGCAGTGGTTGCCGGTTTCTGCACATTTTCTTCCGGAATATTGTTTGGTATTGTTGGTGAACGAATTTCAACGAGACTTCGAATCGCTGTTTATATAGTTAGTGATGTAATTTCGTATCCAAGTTCAATGTTAATTTACTGAAATGTTAAATAATAATAGTTATTTGCAGAATATTTTACGACAAGATGCAGCATTCTTTGATAGCGACTATCATTCTACAAGCAGATTGACTACGCGCCTTGCAAATGATGCACAAAATGTTAAAGCAGTATGTTGAAAATTTTTTTCATAAATCTAACTAAAATATTAATGCCTTTTTCTGATGCGAATATTTTATTTTCGCACAATGAAATTTCACACTTTTGCCACTAAAAAAATTTGCAATATTTATAATGATAATACTAAAACAAATTACTTATGTAAATACAAAGATTTTTAAGTAGTTCATTGTTTTTTTTTCTCAGCTACCTTAATTATATACAGGCTATTGACCAACGCTTAGCAGAAGTTTTGCAAGGTATTGTTTCACTTGTTGCTGGTATTATCGTTGCATTTTCGTTCGGATGGAATATGGCACCAATCGGTATAATTACCTGCGCTATTCTGATAATTCTACAAAGTGCTGTTTCCCAGTACATTAAATTCCGTGGTCAGAAAGATATCAAAGTTGCTGAAAAAGCTGCTGCCGTTCGTATTTATATTCATCATTGCAAATATTAATTAATAAAAAATGTTTGACAGATTTTTAGTATCGTTTTATGAATCTTTTGTTAAATCTCTACATATATGCAAATGTTATTTTCTAAAAACCTATATTATTATATGGTCAATGAAAAGGATATACTATGAAAGTTAGAAGATTTTAATATTTATTTTAGTTAGCTTCTGAATCAATTGAGAATGTTCGAACTGTACAGTCTCTGACTATTCAAAAGAAGTTATACGATACTTTTTGTCATCTATCACAAAAACCTTACAAACGAGCAATTATACGAGGTTTTTTTTTTTGCTTTCTTTGTTTTATTAATTATTTTCAATTCCAATACATTTTTTACACGCAAATTTTTTAAAAAAAGTTGCAGAAGTTATACTTTCAAATGTAGATTTGTCTGCTTTCATTTTATTATATTACAAAACATTTCACACGTCTTACATGCACTTTAGTAAATAATTTTTTCCAAGTACCATGCATTTATGATGTTAATAAATTCATTAATATTATAAATCATTATAGAAGAGCATTGAAACATATGTGGTACAAAAAGATTTGATTGTTTACTGTATACAAAATTAGAAGTATAATCAAAGCTGTGTACATTGCTAGTTTTTATGCCACCTCATTGGTATTGTGATTTGCTTTTTGTAAAGGTATGTGGCAATCTGTTAGCTATGGCATGTCAAGCAGTTTCATGCAGTTCAACTTTGCTATTGCTTACTTATTCGGTCTTTGGCTAGTTCAGAATTCTTGGTCTCAACCATATATCGTTTTCCAGTAAGATTATTCGTTATTAAGCATTAAATGTGATAAATTCATGCAAAAGAATATATGAGACGTTTGCAAGTATCGTTTGATTTGATGAATGACAAAGCAGCAAAAAATTCAATCAAATATAATTCTTAGAATTATGCATATTTCATACGTGAACTAAAAGCGATAAAAATTGAATTTTTAAATAGATTTATAAAGGTAAAAAATACAAAGATTCCATTTGCGCAGAGTAATAGAAGCATTGAATATCGCATCAATTATTGTACTCGCAGCAGCATCCTTTTTTCCGGAATATGTACGAGCAAGTCTTTCAGCAGGTTTGATGTTCCACCTGAAAAATCGCTCACCAATTATTGATAATTTATCAGAGGCTGGTAGTCGCAAGGTAAAACCATGTTTTAATTCTAAATTTAAAATTAATATATTCTTCAAAGTCAAATTTCAAAATAAATTTTGGGAAGAGAATTAAAATGGTACAAAGTACTATTTGGAAAAAGCAATTTCTGACTTGCTTTTGTGCATGTTTTAAATTTGTATTCAAATTATAAAATATTATAAAGGGATAATTTCAAAATGTGTAAATTGCATTATTATGCTTTCTCTAATTAAAACTTAAGCCTCTATTAAAACTTAGCAACTAGTTGCTTGCATGATTTAATCACTCACAACGGCAAATATTTTGATAAGGATAAAATTACGGACTAATAAGTGCTCTGTTACAGCCCGTAGAAGGAAATGTTCAGTTCCAGAGTGTAAACTTTTCTTATCCAATTCGACCACAGCGCTTTGTACTAAATGAATTTTCATTCAATGCCAATTTCGGTCAGAAAATTGCATTGGTAGGACCGAGTGGATGTGGTAAAAGTACTGCGGTGTCACTAATCGAGCGGTTTTATGACGTTGCTCAAGGGATTTTGGTAAATGTCAGATTAAAAACTCGTAATGAATTAATTCAATTCATCAAAATTAATAGTATAAGTTTAGTGGAAACAAAAGTAACTTTAATGAATTAATTTTATAATTGTGTTTGATTATCTACAGTGAGTTTCATACTGCTTTGTAGAAATTTAATGCCTCTTCTATTTTTTACAAATACATATTTCAAATATAAGACATGAAAGTATTGAACAAATGTAGGATAAGTATACATATATGTATAAAAACTATGATTTTTACTTATGGTTTTCTTTAAATTAAAGTTAATCGATGGACAAGACATCAGAACTTACAATATCCGTCACTTGAGATCTCACATCGCTTTGGTAGGTCAAGAACCAACTTTATTTAACATGAGTATTGGAGATAATATCGCCTATGGCCTCGATCATGCTTCTTTCGAGGAAATTGAAGCGGCTGCTAAATCTGTTAATATCCATACATTTATTACCGCTTTACCAAAGGTTCGTTGTGAAAAATATCTCTTGTAGCAATCAGTTTTCACTAATCAAGTTGTATTTACTGCCTTTCAACGGAACAAAATTGAGAATCAGTGAATTCAATCTTTTAAATTCTTTCAAATCAGTGACATTTTAGTGATTAGTTTCAATTTAACCCTAAATCGTTTTCATACTTTTTCGCATTTTTGTTTAAAACCAAGAACATTTTTTGCTACCAGAAACGTTATTCTTATTTGCGATAAAGTCAGAGTTTAGGGTTATGATACCATCGTTGGTGGGAAAGGAAATCAGCTTTCCGGCGGACAAAAGCAGCGAATAGCCATTGCAAGAGCAATCATTCGAAACCCAAAAATTTTGCTCCTTGATGAAGCAACAAGTGCTTTAGATAGTGAAAGCGAAAAGGTATACTGTACTGATTTTGATTTCCATCGTGTCATTTATATTTTTAATCTGTTTTATAGTGAAAAAAACTGAGTAAAGAACAAAGTCTTTAAGCTTCATCTAGCTCAAAAATTTGATCACAAGTCAAAAGAAGTTAATAAATCTACAAAAGTTGTTGAGTAATAACTGCGAAAAAGTTGAATTCATTAAATTTAATAAATTTAATGGAACCCAAATTTAGGCGGTTCAAGAAGCACTTGAATTAGCACGACGTGGCCGTACATGCATTGTGATCGCGCATCGCTTGTGTACGATTCAAAACGCAGATTTAATCATAGTAGTGGAAGACGGAAAAGTTGTAGAAAGTGGTAACCATGCACAGTTACTAACTCGAAAAGGCCTCTACTATCGTCTTGTTGAAAAACAAAATGTTTTGTAAGAAATAGCAACCAGTCCATTACTCAAGTAATCATTCTTGCTAAAAATATAAGCCAAGTGGTCTTCTTATTTTTTGGTTAAGTTTTTTTGCTTGTAACTGAAAGCATTACTCTTAAGACATTTAAGTTGTAGTACGCATTATGCAAATGGTGCAAGAAATGTTATAGCTTTTACTGTGCTACAGCTTCTCACATCAAAAAAAAGATGCAAATTTTTTAATATTGCAAAAGTTAAAAAAAAGAATTGCATTCTGAAGTGATTATACTGACTTAAGCTTTAGGAAACTTTTTATCCATGTTGATTTGCATATTGTGTTTTGAGCTCAGTAAGTTTAAAATTTTTATACTTTTCTCGTTCACTCGTAAAATTAATTATATTTTTAAATATTTGTGATATTTATAGAAAAATTTTATAAATATTTTTCATTTTGTATTTTAAACGTTTGAGCTTTGTCAAGAATGAGTGATTGGTGTGTGCTGCATCATCTAAAATTTATGACGTGAATCGATCATCATGAAATCCATCATCTTTCATTTTGTAGAACTGGAATGAAATGATGACTCATTGTGCTTGTATATCAATGTAAGTAATTATTTACAGCAGAAAAGTATTTCAAATGTCTAGTTAAAGTGTTTGTTTTGTTTCGTTTTTTAAACATAACGGTTCCTTGTAAACGACCAAACAAAAATTATTGATTACTGAAAAATCTCTGATTGCTACCTTAATTGATCAGTAAAATTTCGACTGCTTTATTTTGGCCAATTCCATGTCATAAACTTCACTGCTTAATAGAAAACTAAAGTTTTCACGAAAACTTTGACAGTATTATGCTGTGATTATTATTTTTCATATTAATTAGAAATATAGCATTAAAATAAATTTAGATCAGAGTGATTTCAGTTAGCACAGCAATTCTCGTAAGATGAATGAGAGTAGAAAAATTTGTTTAAAAAAGAGTAGAAGGGATAATTACACAACTTATTACAAAATTGAATGGATATTAATTATTCCGATTATGTTTTGTTTAAAAGATAGTTTTTTTACTTTAAAACAGATGAAAAACAAGAAATATTTTTATCGAACTTTTTTCTTCCAATTAAATAATGTATCAAAGTGTAACGACAAGCAGCAGCGTAGATAAACGTGCCATTGTTCTTCACTTCATTCGGGCAAATTATGAACAACAGAAAGGTGTGCGCTGCAGTTTGATCGATTGAAGCGAAATGTGTCGGAAGAAAACTACGTGTCCACGTATATACTTGATATTTTCGACAATGAGTGATAAGCTGCTAAGAATAAGTGATCACTAACTTCTAATTAAATTTGTGTTTCAGTGCGGACATTTATGAAATGTTCAGGCCGCATTTACTACCACAAGATCTTATCACATGAAATAGTAATAAATTAGCAAGTGGACAAGTTAAGGACTAATTTTTGATAACGGGAATATGATCATTCAGGAGGGGTAATGAAACGTGGAAGAGAAAGCAAAAGAATGGTCGTGGAACGGAATGCTTTTGTACGTGCCGTGAAAGCCTTACTTGCCCTTCTTTGCTTCTACGCTTTATGTCTTCTCACCTGCCTTATTTACACCATTCGAAGACAATATCGAAATGTACGTTTGCATTTATCACTTTCAGCAGTTTTTGTTTGTCAACGAAAACGAGGCATTCATTGAGATGAATGAATTTGCAACGTAGTTTCTCGATGTAAGTAAGTCTTTGCTTATGGTAATATTGCGGCCAGCTTGTGTTCTTCTCTGCAACACTTCCGGATCGTACTTTGAACCTACTATACGGTAGTTATTACTTGACTTCATCGTTATAATATCTACAACAATGTTAATTATAATATTAATATTAGTAACTATGACCTGCGTAATTTGTCTTTTCTCTTATCTTTGTTTATTTGCATTAGAATGGTTCAGACTGTGATACTGTTATCTGATTGTAACAGTGAAAGTGACAAAGTAGATTTTTTATAATTGTACTTATCATGCTTGTTTTTCAGGTAAGAAAACGTCAAGTTGTACGTTACCAATACGTTCCTCTTTCACCTCTATCTGCTCATCGACTAAGCAAGTTCTAATTTATCCATCCATGTTTTTACTTTATAATTTCGTTGTTAGAGCAGTGGATTTTTTTAGTAATTGTAGTTAATTGATTGAGAATAGATTAGTGTTCAGTAAATTAGTTTTTGCTAGCTTTTAATCATTTATCCAACTTTTTGGTACTATTTAAGTTTATTTGTTTTAATCGTTGCATAACGACTTCCTTTGATTTGTTTTCATTGCGAAGTAGAGATAAATATTGAGTTAAGAAAATCTTGTAAACAATTAAGTGTGAAACCGAGCTAAATTTTTGAATTATAATATCAAATATAAGTAACTTATATGTATGTGAGTATTCAGTGGTTAGTATAATTCACGAGTATTTATGTATGAAAAGTACGTCATCTGTCACAAAGTTTTGCTTAAGAAATAGTTACGTTTATTTCTGAAAGCAAAGGATGTATTAATTTGTGCTATAAAACCATTTCAGGTATGGTGAAACGAAAGATCTTGGTGCTTGATTTGGATGAAACTTTAATCCATTCACATCATGATGGTATTATAAGACCAATGGTTAAGCCTGGCACACCAGCTGATTTTATTTTACGAGTATATCCTTTTCTTCGTTATGGTTATCAATTGTAACTAAAATTCAGCTTTATTTTGCTAAAATATGTAGGAATTTTGTACTGACATGTGGGATAAATTAAAAAACTAATGATTCTAGTAGTTCGTTTACTTTGCCCATAATTCTAAGTTTGTATAATATTTTGAAGTGACTTTTTGCTTCAGTTATCCGTGGTATCCGTATAATTATTACAGGTTAATATCGACCGTCACCCGATTCGATTTTTCGTACACTGTAGGCCACATGTTGACTATTTCCTCTCTGTAGTTAGTCAGTGGTTTGATTTAGTTGTTTTTACTGCATCTATGGAAATTTATGGAAGCTCAGTGGCTGACAAGCTTGACAATGGGAAAGGCATACTGCATAGGCGCTATTTTAGGTGCGCAGAGTATGGAAATATTTACATATCCATTTTTTTGACCGATAAATTCTAGTTTTGAATTTTTCTCATTATCACTATTACAATTCATTTTGTCATTTATTTGTACAATTATTGTTTTCTGCTAATTAGGCAAGTATGCAGAAGTGTTTTGTTTTTATTTAGATTTTCGTCATTTATCATTTCAGACAACATTGTACTGTAGATTATAGTGGATATACCAAAGATCTTTCTGCCATACACGCTGATCTTTCATCTATATTTATATTAGATAATTCTCCTAGCGCATATAGGAAGTTTCCTCGTAAGTTTTTCTGTTCAACATTTTTTTAATATTCAAACTTGCATCGCATATTTCGTAACAGCATGTCAGTGCTGCTTGTGAGGAGGCACATTAATTTGTCTAATCCTAGGAAATTTTTACCCGTTGATTCATTTCTTTAAAACACTGATGATTTTAAGGATCCGCTTTATTTCTAAACATAATATTTGTTCAGTTTTAATTTTACTTGCTACTTATTTCAAGAACGTTTTGTAGTTATGACTTAGTGCGTGATCTCTGTTTAAAAAATTAAAAAATGAATGCCATATTTATAATGAACTAGATTGGTCGTTACGCATTTGAAAACTTTGTTAGGCTAAAGTTTTTATTTTCTGTAGAAATCAAAGTAACTAGATTTTCATATGCATTTTATACCATTGTATTCTAGTCAGCAAAGATTTTATAGAAAATGCCATACCAATTCGGTCGTGGTTTTCGGATCCAACAGATACGTGTTTGTTAGCATTGTTACCTTTTCTGGATGCACTTCGCTTCACATCTGATGTGCGTTCAATTTTGAGTCGAAATCAGCAACTTCAGCAGATTTGGTAATTACTTGAAAATAGAATAAAAATTACGAATTGGAACGCATATGTTGTATATACCTTTATTTGTTTTAGTTAATGATTTTTATGTTACTTGCGAATAACTATTATTCTGAGAAATATTACATGCTGTGTAAAGATTTGACTATATTTATTTTAGTTACGTTATAAGCATATTTTTACATGAATTACTTCAATAATTAGTCATATATACATATAATTCTATAATTCTTGACAGCTTAATACTTAATAATGAATTCCATTCTTGTTTCTGATTATGAATTTTTTGTTCGCTTTCAGTTTTTTGTGTACTTTTTGAAAGTTATAGTGATATATTATTCAATGAAAAAAGTAAAATACCTCTTTCTTGGTAGTTTAATAAACTACTAAACAGAAAATTATTAATTATTAGTTACTACAAAGTAATTTTCGGAATGTTAATATGTTTATCTGAGATCATGTGTTCATTCGAAATCTATTGATATTTGCCTATTTTTTGATTCTTGTTATGTTTATGCGTACTTTTTTCCTTTGGAGCAGTCCAGTTTTGAAGAAGAACTGAAAGCAGAAAATAACTGCTCATGCTTTATGTACTAATTTTTGTTTATAATTATAGGCTCGGGTGTGCCACATATATTTTCTGTGTGTCACATTTTCTCATCTAGTGAGTTTTTGTGATTGAAATTAATGGAAGAAATACAATTGTTTTACAAGTATCTGTAAATTTGATATTTTCTTATTCATTGTTTACTTTTGTGCTTGACAAGTTTCTGTTGTATTTTGTTACTTGGTTGTTCCCATCCATGTCCAAAGTTGAGAAAAAAAAGTTAAGCAATGATGATGTAGTAAATAGAATGGAAAACTAAAAAAAGTGTGATAATTGTCTCTCACAATCCGTGTCGTCATAATCAAGATTTGATTTAATGTAAAAAAGTATTGTGATGTGATGCACCTTAATTCATTTCATAAATCAAGCATTACTGTTCCTTTGTCGATCCAACCTTGAAGTGAATTTTTTGTTGCCTCTAATTCTTAATTGTTTCATTTTGTGGATGATTTCGATTCGGCTTTATTTATTTTATTTGTGATGGAAATGGAAATTTTCATTGTGACAGCATTTTCCGCATTTTTTATTAAAATGATGATACAGTGGTTATTTCCTATTCATGATCTGCCTTTATGATAGAAAAATAAGTTCAGTTAGTAGCTGGCGGAAATGTACCTATGCAAATATGTAGGAAATTTGTGCATAAGTAACGCATTTTAGTCATACCTCTGTTTTGGGACATAATTTTTACTTGTAGCTTCTCATAACATATGCTCAAGTAAAGATGCGCTTTGTTCTGAGAAAGCCGTGAGAAAAGTAGTTCAAGTGAGACCAGTTTCCAAAATATGTTTGTTATAGTTGCATGCATGTAATTACGTTGGTTTTTTTAAATACATATTGAATGCCTTTGGATAAGCAGCGCCTACTTTGTGGTGTTTTAAATATCAGAAGAAAGTTTTAAAGTGACATAAAGTGTTGGATTTACTCGGACCGTGTAATGAAGTGTCCTAGGGGTTTTGAGACGGTGTGTGTGGAGTAGAGGCGAGGAGCATGATAACAATTTTTAAGCTCTCAAGTTTTTACTTATATTCTAGCTGTTCGATAAAGAACAGCTAGAATATAAGTAAAAACCATAAAACCACTAGTTTTTATTCACTGCAGTCTCCAACGATAGTTTCATTTTGTCAACTACAATTCCGGCCAACAGTAACACCTGTATCGTATCAGTATCTAAATTATCAGCAGATTACGTGGTGCATTTTTTTGCAGGTATATCACGAACTTTATTCTATTCGAAATTCGCAGAGCATCACAGATGTCTCGTGCGTTACTGAGTATCAAGCATGGCAAACATTTTCAACTGCGCAAGTACATTGAATTTTATAACAATGATAGTTTTAGTCATACATTCAGACGATAGTAATCATAAACCTGAGAAAAATACAGATTTTATCACTGATTCATAGTCTAACACAAGATATGCATGTATAATATGGCAAGTACAAAAATACATAAAGCACTTCATGATAAACAACGCTTGCGCCATAAACACTGTAGTTAGCTGATTAAAGCTGTAATAAACACTAGACAGTGAGCGCTGCAAAAATACATTGTAACAAAAAATTTAATCTGTCACATGACATCGTCGATGGTGATAGAAAAACGTAAAAGACAAGCAACTTGTTAGCAAGTTGAAATACTTTTCAGTATCACTGAATAGTACTCTCATTTGAATTCCTTATAGCTACAACTAATGTTAATGCGCTGCAAATTATAAGGAACTTTTGTTACTGGAACTTGATGAATTTGTCGAACCTGATCTCATTGTGGTCCCATCCGTATCGCTTTCTGTCTCACATGATCCTTCTGGCCAACAGGAGAACTGTAAAGGTAGCTTAGTGTCGATCGTGAGTTCAGGTAATTCCAATATCAGTGGTAGTTTTGGTTTTTGAAAATCAGAACTCAAGGAAAATATGTCTTCTTCACAATGTTTCAAACATTCGTCGTCAGATGATGCTATTTGACGAGCGCTTTTGACTAAGACATCACGAAGTTTATAAGTTCGTCTAGAAAAGTTGTTCGGTAAATTCTCAGAGCACAGCATTCCAGAAGGTGGAAAAAATGAAGGCAAACGCCATGGAGTACAAGGATTCTTACTATCTATCATATATGGTGCATATGCTGCTGGAATTACTGGTGGAGGACGAGGTGTAAAAGCATTTCTAGGTTGTGAAATTGGTGGTACTTCTGGACGTTGAGAATTAGGTTGCCTCAAATCATGTTTCATTCTGCTAAAATTTAGATCATTACTATTTGTTTCTTTGCTTGTTTTTTATTTATTTTTTAATGCATATTCATAAAGATAAAAATGCATATTATTGTTTTCACACTTTCCATAGTAATATTTCAAATTGTTCTATTCGCACAAAAAAATTGCTACAAATGCTTGTTTAAATAACATTAGCAAGTACGTTTTTTTATTTATGTATTAATGACAAAGATTAAGTAAAATAACGAATAAAAATTAAAAATCGTGAAATATTCATGCATCAATCATTACGATAACTTACAGCAATGCTAGCAAAATATTCGCAATATTGAGAAAAGCAAAAGCATACGCGATTCTAGCATACAATGGTCCCTTGGCAGTATCTTGCAGTTCCGATCGAGAACGATATCCTTTCACATCATCATCTTCTGATAAAATGTGAAGCAACAACAGTTCTTGTCTGAACTGTGCTTCTAATTCTAACATCTTTTCTTCTAAAAATTCTTTTTCTTGTAAATTTGTATCTTTTATAATCGCTAATCTAACTTCTGTCGATATCATCTGCAAAATTTTCCTTCATTTCAGCAATATTAAGCAACAATTTTTGATAACTAAATTTTTCAAAAAATCTTTTCCAAGAAAAACTAATATTAGTTTAATCAATGGATTATCAGTCAGTTAATTAATGAATTACTCAATAACTCACTCACTCAATCAACCGATTAATCAATCAGTCAGTTAGTCAGTTTATTTATTTATCAGATATGAATAAAATAAAAGTAGACTAAATTGAAAAAAAAAAGCACTTTGAAAACAGAAAAGCAGAACTATTCACTGATTTAAAAGAAAAAGAAATTACCTCTTGCTTTATTGCTTGTATAGTACTGGAAATATTTTCTGATGTAGCACTGGGAAAGACGCGATGAAAGAGATCGTGTAGCATTTTAACAAATATACAAATATTTGTTTGTATGGTAATACAATTCAATGAGATGGAATGTTGACATTATTAAAAAGATTTAAAAGGTATAGGATTGGCTCTAGAAGCATATTTTTGATCATAATGCCTTGGGAGGCATATCTTTGATCATAAACATTCTTCAATGATCCCTCCATTATATGATTAAAATTTTTTTCAAATGATTTCTGCGAATATTTGCAACAAAAAAGTTATAATCTCAAAGCATAACATGATAATCATTTTCAATTTCAAAAAAAAATCAAATAATTATTACTCTTCTAAATGCTTATTTTTCATAAGTACTACTATACTTTGAATAAGTACACAAATATTCATTGAATATTGTTTTTATCATATTGTCAACAAAAAATTATTCGATTATAATGCAAACAAAGTAAGAATAATCTACAGATATAATTATATGAAGACTAATGTGCGGTTGTTCAGAAAATGCAATAAAATCAAAATCAGATGCTATTTTGACGGAATCACTAGCAGATTTTGATTCGATTATTCTTATTTTTATCATTTTGGAAGAGGTAAGGCAAATAACTTGTTCAACATTCCATTTTAAATTCGTTCCAAATTACTATTCCGTTTTGGTAAATACTGACTGTTAGCTCCACAATTACCTTTTAATCATTACATATATCTTGTGCAAAGCAATATTTTTTTAAAATGAAATACAGCAATCAAAATTTTATTATCAGTATTACGATTAGTTAGTGATACGAATGAATATGAAACTATTTTAGAGTTGTTTGATTTGTATAACAATACTGCTTCTCAATTTACCAAGTTTCCTACTGTATAAAGGAATGGCAGTACTAACTTTTGGTGCATCAATTATCGGAATTGCTACTATGATGTTTCGTTTTGAAGTTTACCAGGAAAAGCAATATGCAGAAATACCACGAATTCTTGAAACACCTGTTAGTATTGCTAACTTTTGTTCAAAAAGTGAATTAAAATTCAAGCATTGCATTATAAATTAGATTTGTTAATTTGAAGTAAATTTGACTGGGCTGTTATTACTAAAGAATGTGACGTTAGTATCATGCCTGACTCAAACAAAAAAAAATTGAAGATAAATGTAACAAGTTATTCTAAAGTATATTAAATAGTATTAAAAATTAGAGCTATGACCAATATTGGCTGTAAAATGTGTGAGTACAATAATTTTTATTAAATTGAATATCCTGACTAACTAATTTACATGAATAATATGATTCTTTATCAAAGTAATAAAGATTAGATTTGTATTTAATATGCATTATTTGATTACTCAAAAATCGAACAATTTTTACAAATAGGAAAGATTTCTGAACAGCAGTAGAGCAATACTAGCTTGGCCTGCTTTAATATCGTGGTTTTGGCTTGGCCAAGTTCTCCCATTCACCGACTTTCTCAATACACGATTGTTTATTTCAGTAAGAATTTTTTTTTTTAATTTATGATTAATAATTTTAATTTTACTTATTAAAAATTTATTAAAGTATATTTTAAAAAAGCAAAAGCTAACTGCTGCTACTAATTTTGTTTTCATTAAAAAAACTTGTAGTGAAATTTTTAATTTGATTTTAATAATTAATTGTTGAAGGGTAAAGTATTAAGTTGGCTATTTTCTTTCACTTGCATTAGTGTTTTAGCAAATATTTTTCCTAAAATTTTTTCTAAATTTTGATAGCATTTTGAAGATTTTATCTATTTTTTATCAATAATAAAGTAATTTGCAGTATTTGTTTGCGATATCTGGTACTATTCTATTACTGCAACTTTTATTATTCCAGAGATAAGGAACTTTCTAAAAATTTCTGATCATCTTGATGAATAGACAAAATATGAATTTATCTTCAAGTAATCAGTTTTGTAAAAAATTTCGTTCTAATCAATTATTTATTAGATTTTTTGTAATAGAATCAAGGTATTTTTACTACGAGTTTTAAAATGAGCTGCTGAAATAAAATAGTAACAACGATTGAAATGCATACTCAATGATCTGAATTTAATGTACACTTTTTTTCTTTATAATTGTAATGCAAAATCAATTCAAATCATTTAAAAAATCTAAGATAATATTTTGCAATTAGCTACGATGGGAAGTTAATATAGTAAAGATGTATGTTGTGGAATGCATAGAATCTATTCACTCAGTTATAATCAGTTGTGATTACTTTAATATCCAGTAATAAAGTAATGCATTTAGCTTAATTAAATTAAATATTCTGTGGGCATAAAAAATGTATTGAAAGTTGCACATGAAGAAATGGAAAGTCTTCAAAAAACTACTAAATATAAATATGGAATTTGCATTTTGTACTAAGAGAGTCTATCGGATCAAAGTATATAATGACTTTATCTTTAAATGTTGACGCATCAAATTTTTATTCCACAAATATTAACGAATTAGCTTCAGTGGATTAAAGTAAAATGTGTACATTCTATTTCGCGATTAAAAAAAAGTATTGTTCACTTAGGCTGATATAACAGCGCAGGTAATTCTGCACTAATTATTAAAATTATTTATATTTTTTTCTAACAGACAACAATTTTGCAAATAAATTTTGTTTCACAAACTATTGTACTAAAACAGAAAAGAACTTATACGAAATGGCAACATTTACAATACAAGTAATTTCAGCAATTTATACTTTTTGCCTTTTCTAATTAATTTTTATTTTTATGCTAAACATAAAAATACTACAAAATATGCGTTATTTAATTAATACTTTGCATTCATTTATTTTTGAAGCTATTGGCAATCAATTTGCATTGTTACAAAAGTTTTCATCTAAAAAAATGCATAGTTTAGAGAAAAATCATTTATTTTTTACATGTGTGATTTATTTTCGTTATATTTTTGTATAATAGAACAAGAAATTAATGAAATAAATATTTTATTTTGTTTTTTAATACACAAATCCAGTATTTCTGTTGCAGTCTTCAACAGTACAAGAATATTTCTTCGCTCTTTTAGAATTTTACAATTTTCAAAGTATAAATGACACAAATATCAAACAATTTCATCTAAATTTGAAAAATAAATAGATAACAGTACTTATATTTCTTCAACTGGTAAATTTTAGCTCAATTAAAATGTAAAATTATTTTGCACAATTTTTTCCTAATTAATTCATATAAATCTTATCTAAAATAGCAAAAGATGTTGATGTAAAGGATAGTTTGCATGATGGATGAAACGAATTTAGTTCGCAAATAAGCCTCATTAAACAAAAAAGATTTTGTTTTGCTTCGATCAACTTGTTTTCAAAATGAATTCATTAGAGAGTAAAATGTTGAAAAGGTGCGTGAACTTTTTCCGCGTATAAAATTTTTTGAAAATTATATATATATATATTCAAAAAACGTTGAAAATTAGATATAATTTTCATGATTAAGAAAAGCTTGCATTCATAAGAAGTAGATGAGAATAATTATTTTTTCTTTTTTGCAAAATACATTGATGAAAGCAATTTAGTAGAATAAAATATGAGAGGTTTTTATTCCAAATTTCTTCTTTTAGTATTAGATTAGTATTATAAAAAAGCAGTAACCAATAGTATATACTTATAATTATGCGTTTTTTTAAGCGTATACTTGCGAAAAAAAGTTGTGTTATTCAAGGCCATCCTTGAAAATGTGAAGTCAAATTTATTTCTTGATAAGTATCGTTACATCTTCCTTCATTCAACACAAAGTTTTATGCACCTACTTGGCGCATTGACTTTGTAAACAATACTCGACGATGAATGCTGGAAGATTTTCGAGAAAAGTGGCATAAATTATTTTAAAACTACTGCTATTATGCTATTTAATTTAAATTACTTTCAATTTATCTCATTTTTCTTTCATTTCTTACCATTTTTGAAAACAATCCCAGAAAAAAGGAACAAAATTGCTTTCTGATTATTTACTTTAAATTTGCTAAAAAGTGTAAAATGTCCAACAGAAAAATTCATAATTTCAGCACAATTACTTGTTATTGCTTTGATATTTTTGGAAATGAAGCTCAAGTTGAGCAGTGAATATTAGAACGGATAAAAAATCAAAAATTAGCTATTATTGTGGCTGGCATGATGAGCGTGTTTTGCAAGTTTCAGCAAAGTAAACTAGAAACGAAAATGCTCAAAAAATTGATCAAAATATGAATTTTTCATTGAAGTGCTCATTACCAGACTGTTATAATCACAAAATGTGTTTGCATGTGAGCCATGTTGTGTGTATCTGCTCAAAGATTATTCATTGCTAAACTCCAATTACTTGACTGAAAGTTTTGGTAATGATTACCTCATCAGTTCACAGTAATGATTTCGACTCGATGATCTGTGCTATATACCCAAATGCATAAACTTTGTGACAAATGAAAAAAAGTAATTAGATTAAGTAAGGTTGAATTTTTTCTGATTTACTTACTTAATCACATAGCTTTTTGTACTTATCTATCTTTGTCGGGTCAAGATGACTTTAAATTTGCACTCTTTTACTTTGTTCTTAATTACTTGAAAATGGCTGCTTCCTTTCCTGCCATCAACATTACATTTCTTAAATAAGTTAACACTATCAGCAGTCTTCATTTATAGTACTTTAACTGCTAATACTGCTACCGCTACTGCTACCGCTACTGCTACTGCTACTACCACTACTACCACTACTATTACCGCTACTACTACCATTACTATTACCAGTAGTACTACCACTACTGCTGCTACTAATATTTATATTGCTATTAATATTTATAGTTATTACATTCATTTTGATTTTTACTTCTCAATCAATTAACTTTTGCCATATTTCACGAATTTATAGATCTATTTCACTTTGCAGTTGTACTTGATCCTATTCATCATTATTGCATTAATATCAGATATACTTAAGAAATTGGCTTAATTTTCAATAAATTCATAAAGTTTACATTGTTGTTACTGAATAAAAAGTACGCGACCAAATTTGATTTACATGGACTAAACCAATGAATTGATATT